GGAATTTTGGTTATTGAGAAGAAGTTGTTTAAAGTTTTTAACATATTTGACCCCTGTGACCTTGAATATGGGTGAAGGTCATTCATTTGAACAAAATTTGTAGCCCTTCATCTCAGCATGCTACTGGCCAAATATCATCACCCTGGGAATTTTGGTTATTGAGAAGAAGTTGTTTAAAAGTTTTTAACATATGTGACCCCTGTGATCTTGAAAATGGTTTAAGGTCATTAATTTTCAACAAACTTTGTAGCCCTTCATCCCAGTTTGCTTCTGGCCAAATATCGACACCCTAGGCCTTTCGGTTATTAAGAAGAAGTTGTTTAAAGTAAAATATTGACGCCGGACGCGGAAGGACGGACGGACAACGGACAGATGACAGACGACGCGCCACGGCATAAGCTCACTTGGCACTTCGTGCCAGGTGAGCTAAAAATGCAAGGGAATATTATGGTTACAAGATCTTTTTCCTTTTCCTATTCAGTGGTGTGGAAAAAAATAGATCACTATGACCTTCCCACATTGTCCCTGAATTGACAACAAATTTAATTTAGTTAAATACATTTTACCTTTAAAAATTCATAAAGTGCTGTTAGTTATAACTGTTTTCATACACAAAATTATTTCTAGTCTTGCATCTTGCATGCACTGTCCACATGTTTTGGGAGACTGCAGACATTATAAAATCAGTCTAGGATATAAAGAGTTCTCAAAATCCTCAACAAGCAACAAGACCGTAGTTAGTAAAAATAAGAAAGGTCAACAAAACATTCATTCAAACCTGGTAAACCTGACTAAACTTCAATAATAGCCCTCTGTCATTATACTGATATATAGACATGGGCAGTCTTAATTTTCATCAATTTGATCAACTTAAAATAGTACCATGATGTCAGTTGAGATTATAAATATAACATAATAATAAAATTTGTTTATGCTTTATGATTCTTTTTGAATTTGAGATAAAATTTTAAAAAAAAATTAAAAAAAAAAAAAAATAGAACGTGAAAGCACCTTAAGAATACTATAGATTTCATTTTTAATCAATCTTATTCGTAAAATTGTTGCTTCGAAATAAATGTTTATGTTTTAAAAATGTGATACAAATCACAATAAAAGAGTCTTTAATTAAAGAGAATAAGGTACAAATCAACGGCAATCAGTAGAGTTTAAATAAAGCCTTATTTTATTTTACATCCATCTTACACCCATATTGTGATCTACGTACAGATTTCTGTCCAATTCATGAAAAAAAAAATGCAAATTGAGAATATTTGTGGAATGAACAGTCTGAATAAAATCCAAATCTGTATAAAAAGCATAAAACTCTTTGACAATACACCATACTTACCTCCAACGCAATTAAGTATTCTAGAATATCATTCAGCTGATGTTTACACTAGTATTTTCACAAAAGAAGAAATAAAGATATTTCATGAAACCAATGAGGTATCCACTTTTTTAAATTCTATAGATAACATACAGTGGTCCACAATTCATCTTCACCCTCAATACAAATTTAACTCATTCACCCCTACATATTTAAACTGGACTTGTCCTGTCTTTGATTTGGTAAGGTTCAAATGTGACTTAAGGGGTGAATGGGTTAATACATTTAAAGTTGTATTTCTTTTTTAACTGTGGTTTTTATGGTGAGCATTCTCGTACCTCACTCAAGACTCCCCATGAACAAAATCATTCAAAAACACATAATTAGTTTCAATTGATAAAAAGGAATTATCAGATATTAACGATAATTAATAAATACTGCATCCCAAAAGATTGTTATTCACCAGTAGTTGTTAAACATTCTCAGGTTAGTTATGATAAAAATTAATATTTACTACAAACTACTAAACAAAATACTGCGTGAAATGAGAAATAATCATTCATATATACTTGTTACGACAGCAAAGACATTGTGAGATAAGGTCATGCCGATGTGTTTGTTCGACAAAATGTTACCTTCATGGCGCCGGACGTTTTTTCACTGGCACGTTTGGCAGCAAGACCCATGTTGACGAAGAGCTCCAGCAGCCGGACCAGGAGTTCTTGCTGCTCCCCTTCCCCCTGGATGTTGGACGCAATGTTGGCTAGGGCATTTATCACAGCCAAAGATACTTGTCTGAAATTTTAAGTTTTTTTTATCAATCCCTTCTGTAAAAAGATTAGAGATCATCTTTGCATCACCTTATTACCGTATTTGACCGCAAATAAATTAAGCCCCAACCCCTAGTGAAAAATAATTGACCAAAAGTAGGGAGGGGCGTAATTGCGAGCATCCCCCCTGTTCAAAAATGTCCGCCGTCTTGGTACTACAAACCAACCATTAATATTTCCAAAAAACAATTACTAAATATTTAAAGAAATATTGAATGGTTTCTCACACTCATTGCTAGATTATAGCAGACCATTAGATCTCTAACAATAGAACAGGTGCAAAAATCCATTTGATCAGAAATAGATCAACAGGCCTCCTTTATTTAGAAACGACAGGCAAGAGATAATGTATCCCTATTACTGGTAAACAATAAAATAACAACGGAGGGGACCATCCAATCAAGTGGCCTTCCTGAACAATATATTAAACAAATGTATATGGACTTCAATTACCTGATGTTTTCCATGTACATGTTAGAAAACTTACTTAAGCTCTGGAATATGAAATACTCTGCATTAATTTTCATATAGTGTATCTAAATTTGAAGTCATGGTTTTAAAGAAAAATAATATGTTATTTATTCATTTGAAGTCAAAATGTCTGGAATGAAATATGGAAAACGAAAGACTCAAATTACAAAATTCAGCAAAACACACGTGAAACAATTCATTCGTATTTTCATTATTTTCCACATACGTATTTTTTATTTTTAACTTCTGGTACAGAGCAGGCTTACAATACAAGAATTAGTTTCCACATACATTAACTTCTGGAACAGACTGCAGGCTTTGAAAAGTCCATTTAATAATAATAATAAAAAAAAAAAATATGTTCAAAAATTTCAAAAAAACAAACAAACAATTTTAACTAAACACATCAAATCCAACATGATAAAAGTAACACCAACTCCTTTATATATACCGCCATATTTTTTCACCACAGTGGATTCTACAGTGGGAGAGAAGGACCGACATACAATTAGCATCTTACAGTTAAGTTGGATACACAGACAGACGATTGTTTGTCAAAATGTTCTGTTTTCTGTAAACATTTCTATTACATAACTCTATGACATCCTGCTGACCTGAGAAAGCACACGAAATAACCGCTATCTATATATAAATACAATTATAGCCCCTATATTTATGAGAGTTCAACCAGCCCTTAGGTCGACATTGGCACAAATCTGGGTAAACAGTCAAATCACTGATACATGACAACAATTGACCTATTGTGATACATTTACAAATCTGTCAATGCATAACGTTCTTCTCTTCTTTTTTAACTTTTAATTTTAGAAACAAGATGAGGTTTGAACTTCTTTATAATAACTAGAAATTTTACCAAAGCATAAATTTGCATTCCATTAAACTTCAACATTTACACATATTATGCATAACATTTGACTAAAGTGGATAAATATCCATTATCTTGACCAATGTCTATTTGCATTCAAGTTAACCTTTGACCTGCGGATATTTACATACCTGTACCCTTTCACCTTTTCGTCCGCATCTCCCTTGGTGTAAGGGGAGCTACTCTCGATACTAATCTGGGTGAACATCGACATCACCTGCTGGTAAACACACGACTGGAAACACAACACAGTTCATTACCATATCATGTGATCAGATTGCTGTCTTCTCGTTGGCTAATAAAGGTACCTCCTCAATCCAACAAAAGTCAGCTCTAAATCTACATTCTGACGGATAAAACATCTAATAAATCCATAATATTAAAATACTTCCATATTTAAAAAAAAAAAAAAAATATATATATTCAGACAAGTTTGTTATATTTTAAGTCCTTGGGCCATTATTATTAACACTGCAATTATTTGTCAAACCAATGTGTCTGATACATTTGCACAATTAGACCTGAATTTAATGGTAATCTTATGGAAATTAATGGAAAAGTTATGGTGAATTAATGGATAAATTGACAATGCCATAATATAACTGATTGCTTAAAAACTCTGGTATTTCAAAACAAGTTAAACTTTAGTATGTGGCTATATCATCCAATCAGATAGCAGTGTGCTAATGAGCTATGCACAAGTATTGCTGAACTCCAAGGGTTATGCTCACTTACTTTCCCTACACCCCTGGAATATGTCGTTACAAAATTGAGGGCATGCAGCTAGCTTTATGATTGGTTTCAGGTGAGAAAACAGACCAATCGCTAAGCTAATACCTGTCCTTTGAAGCTTACAGAGACTGACACCTCACTACAAAGCCAGTCAAATGTAGCGTTATATAGCGGCCCTATTCTTAAATGCAACATCAAGGGCTCAAACTAGCTTACTACATCATCCACAAGGTGGCATTTACAGAGCCTTAGATTTTGTCATGACATGAAAATGTAAAAAAAGAAACAGAAACCCTTGAATTTGTTGAGAATGACCGAACAATGAACTTTACCATACACTTTGTATATTGCAAAAAAAATGGCAAGAACACTCACACAGCCAGCCATTATCATACAGCCCAGCTGGTCTATAATTAGCACATCCAGTGCGGAGGGAGGTGAACAGAAGCGCTGCTGGAAAATCTGAAGAACAGCCTCTACAGTTTTGGGTGTGTCCTTTAGAGCTACGGCCACATGTCCTAGGGTCAGAATTGTGTTGGTCGAAATCAATGTTGACTCCCTGCAAATGAATTAATAAATTTCCTTATCAGATTTTTCTTTTTCTTTTTCAAAATGACTTCTTTGCTTTGTTTAGAAAAGTTCCACAACAATATTTAACTACTATGCTATGCAGGAATTTTTTAGAAGAAAAAATAATAATAATAATAGGATTAGTCATAATCAAAATATTAACCAATATACCAAAACCTTGAACAAATTAACGAGTTTCACTACCAGTAACAGATACCATATTAAATAAACAAACTATTAAAAAGCAACTAATAACAAGCTTGACGAAATGAAAAGAATTTACTTTAGTTTATAATTCACTCAATTAAAAACATCCGAAGATTTTTTTTTCTCCCATCAATGAACCATGAAAGTTAATTGTTATTTTCTTTTTACCATCTTCTGTGTTTCTTTAATCTTATGCAAGCATTGATAATTTCTCTCTTTAAATAATATTAAAAGTCTTAACAATTTGGATGAATGTTCAGTAAGATTTAGAAAGTGAATTCCTTGCAGTCAGTCAAGATAATCTGACCAATGATAAGCTTCTATAAACTTTCAGATAAATTCGATATCATTACGGCCTGATTTATCTCGAGAAAAGTACAAAAATGATTTCCAAGGCAATTTTATTAGATTTTAAATTAGTTTTATGGTCTTATATTTACGAAATTTAACTTCACTATTTAATAAAAAAAAAATCTCATTTCTTTTTTATAAATTTTGAACAAAATGTAATACATGTTTACCAATACTGAAAAAAAATCAACGTTACCTGATTATGCTATTAAAGCAAAAACTAAATTTCCTTAAAAAACTTTCAGTCCAGCTGACTTTTTTAAGGAAATTTAATTTACTAAGTATTTAGGAAATTTGATATGAATAGAATTTCCACAATACAAATGAAGTATTATAAATACACTTGCTGTAATTGTTGAGAAGGACTAACTTGACAATGGTTTTTACAGAAAACAATGTGATAGTCTACTGAAAGACCACCAAACACATTCCAAAAGAATATCAAAATTCATCTCATGATATCTTCACAACGAAACGAAGTCTGAACCATTTGAAAGAATAAGTACCAGAATATTATTGTTTTCAATCAAGAAAACTATTTTTTTATTTTTTAGAATCAGTTCCTTACATATAATATCCTGAAAAAAAGGTGCCTATTTTGCAGATTCTTCAGAAAATAGTATTCTACTGTACAAATATCCTTGAAGATACACACTGCACAGTTGTCAGTTTACTATATATGACATGCTTTCCTCACACCAACGTTAATCAAACGGGTTATTCCTACACACAATCAAACACACTTAGCTAAGATAATGAGACGGGAGTTATTTACCAATTACTAATACAAGCAAGACTGAATTGTTATCATGCAACAAAAGGGTTTATATAGAAGGAACCCATCTCATTCTCAAGCATAAACTCTGCGCTCAAACTACGCTTCTTGTAACGTCCTGAAGTTCATGCAAAAACAGTAAAAAATTGAAGTATCAACATTAATTAACTCATTCACCCCTACATATATAAACTGGACTTACCCAGTCTTTGATTTGGTGTGGTTCAAATGTGACTTTAGGGGTAAATGGGTAAAGAAATTGACACTCTGCTTCAAATTGTCTCCGAAGTTTCTCAAAATCATTAAAAGAATAGAATATTTGAGTCCTCATTACCAAAACATGGAACTTGATTTGAGCACAGAATCTGAGTTTGAGCATGAGAACGGTTTCAGGATTTTGTGTACCAATCTAAAGTAGAGAAAAAGTTGTTTTTATATAATTTTTATATATTCATTTTCATGGCATGGATAATAAAATACGTTTTTTTTTCAGAAAAATTAAGTATAAAGCATAAAGTTGTTTTTGCAAGCCTGTACAATAGGTATGCAATTTTAGAAATATGATACATATACATGTGCTATATTTATAAGTCATATTAACAATGTTAAAAAATTAAGTACTTATCACTTCACATCGTCTCATTTATATATTTCATTTTTCATCAAAGCTTGTCTTTATAGGAAATAATCTCCTTCTTAAGAATCATTTCAACAAATAAAAAATGTTAATGTTGGGAAAAAATATATAACTACCCAGTATGCAAAATTTAATTGAATGAAACTGAGCACTATCTACAATGACTGGTTATTTAAGAAAAGTATTTAAATTTCGGAAAGTGAATTGCTCAAATAAAATCTAAGAGTGAATAGAGGGAACAAGAGGCCCAATGGGCCTGCATCGCTCACCTGGTATTAATCTCACACTTTTTATATTAAAAGTGGACTTAAATACAGCTACAGGCAGAATATCAGTGTTTGATTCATAAGAACCTATCAAAAGATTTAAACATGATGCCTGTGACCTTGAATGTAGAACAAGGACATTAGGTTGAAAGTGGGTCAAGGTAATTTATTTGAACAAACTTGGTAGCCCTTCATTCCAGCATGCTACAGGACCAATATCAGTACCCTGTGCATTTTGGTTATTGAGAAGAAGTTGTTTGAAGATTTTACGACATTTGACCCCTGTGACCTTGAAAGTGGGTCAAGGTCATTCATTTGGACAAACTTGGCAGTCCTTCATCCCAGCATGCAACAGGTCCAATATCAGTACCCTTGGCCATTTGGATATTGATAAGAAGTTGTTTGAAGATTTTAAGACATCTGACCCCATTGACTTTGAAAGTGGGTCAAGGTCATTCATTTTAACAAACTTGGTAGCCCTTCATCCCAGCATGCCACTGGCCAAATATCATCAGCCTGGGCCTCTTGGTTATTCAGAAGAAGTTGTTTAAAGTAAAAAGTTGAGGCCGGAGGGACGATGGATGGACGACAGAGGGACGGACGCCGCGCCATGCCATAAGCTCACCAGGTGAGCTAAAAAAACACTCATGTGAAATAACGTGCCATTAAAAAATACAGAAAAACTAATCTTAAACAGTTTTTTCATGTGAAGTAAAGCATAATATCTTTTATACTTTATTTTGAAACCTAAAAGAAAATTTGTGATAAAAAGATTTGATATAAATTGCAAATAATTCCAAAATCTGATACACATTTCTATGCATCCATATTCAGTATCTCACAGTGGACAGATATCAGTTCAGGTTAGAATATTTGTCTCAATCAAGGTTAAAATAATAACTAAAAAAAAATTCTCTCAATCTGTACTAAAGAATGCGTTAAGGATCCCAGCCCAGTCCAATTGAAGGCAAAATGCTAGAGAGTTCCACTGTGGCTTTTAACACATGATTTTTCTCATGTTTTGACAAAGACACAGAGTTGGAGATTTTTTTCACTCAAAACATTCTGCTGCTGATTATAGTTTGTTTATATCATTATTATTATTTTTTGCATGATGAAAGTCCCACAAGATATGGTTTTCTTATCAGAAATAATTTATCAGAGGCAGCTATAGTAATGGCAGTCGTACAGGGACCCTTCTTTTTAACAAAAGTGTTTTTTAATAAAAGGAAAAATCCTAAGTATCTTCATGCTCTGGAAATTGTGCCTAAATTTGTATGTTGTTTACTGTGTATGTGTTAAAAATAATAACTTTACTGTGGATGCATGTATATATTGATTATAAAGTGTAGTAAATATATTGAATAATTTCCCAAATAAATTTTTTAGACCAAAATCAAAAAAAAAATGTGATCAAACTGAATAAAAAATGTGTAACAGGTCTTTACTCACTTATAGCACCCACACAAATTCAAAAGTCTGAAATTTTATACAGAAAAACAACTATTTATAGAAACCAATTATTGTGATTTTTTGATGAATTTGAAAAATGAGTGATGGTGTGATGTTTCTCATACCCGTGACTTACTTATTGCACCCACACAATGTAAAAAATCTAAAATTTTATTCAGAAATATTTTTTTTCCTGGTTAACTTTTTAAAGTATGGTTTTTAATGGGTGAAATGTTTCCCACAAGACACTGAATTGTTTATACGAAAACAAAATTACCGAGATTTGTCTTTTGAACTTTTAAAATGACAAATGTAATGTGTGACTTCTCCCATTCTTTATTGCCCCTTTTAAGCGGGTGGCACAGAGGTTTGTTTGTTTGTTTGTTTGGGTTTTTACGTCCTATTAACAGCTATGGTCATTTGATGACGTGCCAGGTTTCGGTGGTGGAGGAAAGCCGGAGTTCCCGAAGAAAAAACCACCGACCTACAGCCAGTACCTGGCAACTTCCCCACGTAGGCCTCGAACTCACGACTCAGTGGTGGAGGGCTAGTGGTAGCAGAATGTCAGACGCTAACCACTCGACCATCGCGGCACAGAGGATAGAACACCTTTCACCAAGATGGTAAGGGGTAAGATCCCAGATTGGACATGAGAAGGTATTGAGTTTTTCTGGGTACTCCAGTTTACTTCCACATTAACACACCCTGTGTTCTAACATCCAGAACAATAAAAGTGTTTACTATTTAAGTGGGTATAACTTGTTCAATATGTTTTATTTTTAAATCAGTAATAATAATATTCATATATATTCTCATTTAAGCAGTGTATGGTTTCTGTCAACTCTTATGGCTAGTAGAAAAGATAAACATGCTTGTGTCATCAAATGAAAAGAAACGAATGACATTATTTTAACAAATGATAGTGCTAACCTAGCTGAAAATGAAATGTGATGTATGAGTAAAGTATTGACTTTGTAACTGTTTTATTATGCAATGTTTATGTCCTGTATGTTAGTCGGTTTTAATAGCTCCTTAGAGCTAATGTTGTATTGTTATACCATGTACCGACTCTAAATAAAACTTTAGACTGACTTTGACTTCGGTGAATGACGATATTCATACCCCACACATGAAATTGTTTACACTACTGTCGGTGGTGTTGTGACTAGAATAATAGGATGGGAGAAAAATAATCATCCCCTACTCTGAGGGTGTGACAGAGAAATCTCGGACCCTTGGGGTGATTTTTTGGTTGTCTAACCCTCGGCAAAGCCTTGGGTCAGACAACCAAAAAACATCATCCCTCGGGTTGGAGATTTCTCTGTCACACCTTCAGGGTAGGGGAAGATTTTATTAATCCCAACCCAGAGTTTATCTTCTGTGATGTCATAATGGAAACATTATAAGTCATCACTTCTTAGATGAAATCCTGTTATATCTAGGCTCTAGGTGGTCATTTCATCATCATTTTACAAAAAACAATTTCTTTTCAGGAGTGGGAGTAAAATACTAATTATCCACTAAGCAATATGTGATAAAAAGGGTAATGATGAGCAAATCTTAACTCATTCACCCCTAAATTAAGTCACATTTGAGCTCTTCCAATTCAAAAGTTGGAATAGTTCATTACGAAATTTCAGGGGTGAATGGGTTAAGCAAAAAGAGCATGTCATTTGCCATCAACCAAAAGCACAATCCAAATGAAATATTGTGAGAAAAAAAAGAAAATATTAAAAAAGATGAAATAAGCAAATACTAAATTATTAATTAGGTATAAATATGAGATTGTATTTTATTTCTGCCATATTTGCTTTATTTTCATATTCAGCTCTTAATTCATAATTAATAGGCAAAATTTCGGGAAATATGATGATAAAAAAGTGGAATGTCTTGTACCATGAGAGGTAGCAAATTCAGAGGATACTAAACCATAGAACACAATTGAAAATATGCCATCAAGATAATATTGATCTGTTGCTTCTGAAAATAGTTACACTGTTGAGTCAATATAAAAACTTAACTACATTATGTTATTAGGATTCACCCCATGAGAATGTAGCAGAATATTGTGTGATCTTATATTAGAGGTGTCAATTTTTATAGAATAGATTTTTTTTTACTAATGAATGTAGGAATATAAATGTTTCTCTCATTTCCCTGTGTGTAAGATAGAGCTGTCCAGGGTAAGAAAGGGGTGTAGGAAATTTCTATCTTACACCCCATTTCATGTGACGTGACGCCACAATGGCTCGACAATGACCTGACATCACAAATTTGGAACTCTCCGATGCCGCAATGCGGAAAAGGCGACGTGATGAAATTTAAAAACCTATTACGATATATTTAGCATATACGTTAGAAAGATGTGATTAATTTTCCTACGCAAACTCTGTTAGCCAATATGGGATATGCTAAATCCGGCTGGCTGATTTGTTTTCGTTTAAAAAGCTCAGGGGGGGGGGGGAATTGTTAGGTTTTAAAATGGTGGCCACCCTAAATGCATTTTCATGGTTTCTGAACTTGGAATGGTTGGAATGAGAGAAAAAAACTCTTTCATGCCCAAGGGTGTAAGATAGGGAAATTCCACCCTCAGGTTTTACCAAATTTTAAATTCCGTCAAGTTGGGGTCCCTATCCTACACCCCTGAGCATGAAGAGTCTTATAATTAACCAATAGAAGTATGAAATATATACAGATACTTTGTAAATCTTTATTAATTATGGACTTTTGATGAGGTGAATGTGTGGTTTTATAAACCTAAGAAAGTGATATTGACTGACGTTGAGGTCAATATCACTTTCTTAGGTCCTAACAACCACATATATTCACCAAAACAAAATTCATTCATTGTTATTTCAGATATAAGATTATGATTTTTATCATTACAAAAAGAGGAATGTCAGAAAGTGGTCAATAGAAAAGTACACTATTTGACAAAGAGCATTGTGACGTTACACTCGAAGTGACGCTATATAAGAGATTGTTAACCTGCCAAAAATAGTACCACTGAGTCAATATCACAAATCTGACCCCTCCCCCGAAAATGGTTTTTATCCAACCAATGAATAAGTACCAAAAAATGGTGTCACGTAATGTAAGTTTTATATTCGTTTCCGTACAGTATGATACACAACAGAATTGTAGTACACATGTTTACAGGGTACAGAGTGGGTATACACTATACATGTCAAACCCTACTTCACATCGTGTCTACAGGATAGAGGCTACAGATCTAACAATATGTAAATAGGAGTTGGAAACAAAAAAGGTCACATGAAGATTTACAACAGAATGGAAAAAACACAGGATAAAATATATCGAGGTTGTGTAATACTTACTCAGACCTGGGGAACAAAGATATCAATTTGATTTGAATAGCAATTTTGATTTAGATGTTACCTTTTGTCAAAGACCTGATTTCTGGAATAATCCACAAAATAATTTTGTAATTATTTTGACATATTTATGTACCGTAAAAACCCATGTAATTTGCGCACTTTTTTTTCAGAAATTTAATACCCAAAGTGGGGGGTGCGTAAAATACACAGGTATAGAAAATTTCAAGTTTTTTTCAGGAAAAGATCGACGATTCTTGGAGATCGCCATCTTGTATTATCTCCCTTGGTACACGGAACTCAAAAACAAATGACGGTCAACAAATTTATTTATGTCAAACATTAATAAAAGATACAGCTGATACATAATGTGTTGTTATCTGAGTTTATGTGAAAAGTATTGTTTAAATAGGTAACCGTTAACAAAGAAAGTTTAGCCAAATTCCTATGCCACAGAATCGCCGATCAACTTACGACGTTACGTTTCGACATCTCGGTGCGTAAGCTTTTGTTATCCAACATACAAATTTTTTCATTTTTCAATTATTTTTTTTCATGAAAATGGCAAATTTTTTGCTTAGCAATAATAATGTCACTGTTTAAACTAGTCTGTTGCTTTCAAATATTTCAATTTTATTACAAGTAAAATCATGAAAATTTCACATGTTTAAGCCGTTCAAATTTTGGTACTGTAAATTACTTTTTTAGCAACATAATGGGTGTGCTTATTTGTTAACAGGGTTTAATTGTTTAATTGATTATAAGTGTTTCAATTATAAATGTTATAATTACAAATATTATTTTTTCCAGATGTGTTAATTCAAAATTGCATCCATAGTCTATATTATAAGAGGATTCGGCTCATGTAGGTTCAGGATAGAGTGAAGATGAAAATCTTAAAAAAGAAAAAAAAATGGATTGCACAAAAGAAAATGCCTGTATATGAATGAGGGAGAACATGTATTTCTGTTAATCAGTCAAATCAGAAAATCTGCTAAGCTGATCGTCTAACTGTAAACCATCTGAAAGTCAGTGCAGACATCTAATATACACTGTTTTATCAAAGAAAAGATTAATACTTATAAAGATAGATCTGAAAAGCAACTTTTTTTTCCTGAAAATCTAAAATCTTAGCATTTAAAAAAAAGTATTCTGACAGAACAGATTGTCTAGCTTCAACTACGTAAGGGTGTGATCGGTGATGTGCGTGACTAATAAACCAAGCAAGGTGTTAGAAGGCGCCGACTAGTCGCTAACAAACTGTTAGTGTGATAAAATTTCTATGATAAATATGTCACAAGACTCGTGAAAATGCTTTGCCTTAGCATGTCCCTAGCATCCGAACTGGCCTTCGCTGTGGTCGGACGAATAAATTTCATTACAAGTTTGACCTGCTTCCAGTGTTCCTTTCCCGTCTTGTTTTTGCTCCTAATAACAAAGGTCACAAGCAAACAAAGAAAAATGATAATGATAAATAATAAAAACAAAAAACTCTAGTACCTCTGTTTTTAAACTATAAAAGAAAATTTCTATGAAATTATAATAATTAAAACTGAAATCTTCATGCATTATAACAAGCAGACTCATTCAAGAGACTTAGGGCATCGGCTCATTCCCATGAAAATAGCCATGCAGTTTTTTGGTTAATTTGGCAACTGAAAACATACAAGCATATACATGACACATGACTGTAGCAATCAAGGGAGACAACTATGTACCAACCACGAGTAGGTTATCTAGACTATAGCCTACATATACAGGTAGATTAAACATGCGGACAGCCAAAACAAAATCTATTCCATTCCTTTCATTCACAGTTATTGTGATGGCTTGGACATTTTGAATTTTAAATGGCATTGAACTAGCCGTATAGCTGTAGTTTACATTGAAACTAGGGCTTATTAAAAGACAGTGAATCCAAAATCCACACATCTCAACTTAAAGCCGTCGATCAACAATTATTGTATATCACAAATATTCAACATAGGTCACATTACAGGTTTTGAAAGTCTTACATTTTAACTACATATTTACAATTACATTGTACTTCAACAGTTTTTAATGAATTTTCATACTTTCTTGCAAGAATATTTCACTGTCTTGAATGATTGATTTTTCACCATCTTGAAGGGCTCCTTACATTGGGAGACCGATTAGCCATCTTCGAGGATAGTTTTAATTGTCTTGAATAACTCTATCATTTGTCTTGAAGGACTTATTCAGCATCTTGAAAAACTATTTCACTATAACTTGAATGACAATTTAAGTGTTTTTGCCTAGTCTTGAATGACTATTTCGCTAACTTCAAGAACTATTTAACAAGTTAGACTTGGACTGCTTTTTGTATCTTCAACTTGGCATTGGCATTAATCAGTCATAAACATACTTTTGGGTTTTTACTGTCTATGACTGTAGGTAATTTTGAACAAGAAACCTAGGTTCAATTTCTCTTTTGCAGTCTGTATTCCGCTTTAAAACATTTCAAAAATCCAAATTGTTTTCTGCGGCTCTTTAACTTGCGGAAAATGTTAAGAAACAGTCAATTTTAGGTGTAATCATTTTTTTTGTATACTCAGATACTGTGTACTACTTGTGTTTCTGCAGTAATTTATGCATCAAACATTACGCACCGAGGCAACCTCAAAAGTTCGCACAGCCCACATTGACACAACACACGGCAACTTTTGTGATCAGGCAGGGAAGAGTGTAGAGCCAGAGTAAAAAGAATTCCTTCAATTTACCAGTGGTATCACTATGTGCAAATATTTACATTCCCACTGTACACCCCCAACATAAACTGACCAGCCTAAAATGATGTTATCGACCAATAACAGCAAGAATTAATTATACACATGAGTTCTTCCCAGTCTGAAACCAATCATGCCAAAGAATTTATGATGGATTTCCTCAAATTGTTTCCGATTGTCGTTTGTCGTCTGATGGAACAGGGAACAGTGGTGAACAAGACCGTGTTTTACTCTTTGGTAGAATGGGAAAAAATGTCTGAAAAGTATCCTTTGTTGTTTGGAACATGAATATAGGGATTAAAATGTTTTTTTTTATTAAATTCATGATAGCATGCAACACAGTTCAGTTCAAATATATACCATGATGTACAGTTGTCCATCTTGGAGAATCAGTGTTGGATACCATCATAAATGTTTTAAAAAAAATACATTTCAAATCTTTAGTATGTGAATGTCCCTCAGATCAGATCAACCGTCAACAATTCATTTATACTATCATTTAATAAAATGAGTTTAATATGCACGTATATATACATTGAATATTGATGTACACTTTAGTTCAAGATGCCAAAGTTAAACTATTTCCATAAATATTAAAGAGTATATAGCCATTTGATACATCTTTACAACACTCAGGCCGACACCTTTTACATACATTATTCGCCATATCAATATATATAATTAGCAGACACTTTGATTTCATATACTTACTATACAACACTGACCCCAAAACTTTTATTACTTCATACGATATCAACAGTTTCAAAGAATAAAGCCAGCCTGTTTTATACACAAGTTACAACGATTGGATCTGAAATTACTTGACACAAAATGCAATTTTCACATCCATGAGTGACAACGAAGGGCATACATTGGTTCTATCTAGCAGTAAGAGCTGATTATTCAATGATATTCTGCAGCGAATCGATACGAAACTGGACGACGAGGTGCCTAACCAGAATGCACCACAAATAGCCGCTACCTAATATATGATGTATACACAAAATGACCAGATATTATATAATTAACAGACATGACTGCCTTGATGTGTTTGAAATTGACAACCTTGCAAAATGCTTACCCGATACAAAAATACAAAGTTAAACCTTCGCCTTAAACACAAAACCTTTAAATCAAAATGATTAGAAGAAACACTAATTTCAATTTCATTTTCAATAAAACAAGATTTATAAGTAACCTCTAATTTCAATTTCATTTTGAATGAAATCATATTTGTAAGAAACATTTTAAAGACGGTTTAAAATAAATATTTCTTATAACCTTGATGATGTAGAGAAATAACATTTTTTAATTACGTAGCTGTATCGATAACGTGCGTACATATATATATGTGACTTCTGGTGCTGTACCAGGTTTGGATGCTGTGTGGTGACGGTACAATGCGGAGACAACAGTGTTACAATACAGACCTGTCCGACATCTCGGCACGGTACAGTCGGTTAGAGGTCGTCGCTAAAAATGCTTGAACACACTCTGGCTCGACCGGGAGGCCTGACTTTAATGCCCTGTAAAACAAACAGGATGAGCAAATTTGATTAATAAACAGATTAATGCAACATACAAAACACAATGATTTGATACAAATCTCAATATCACAATATATTCAGAATTGTAATATAGAAAGTGTTTTAGATCCTGTTTTAATCACCGGCTAAACAAGCTCTGTCTGAATGAATACCATAAGTGCGGACAGCTAGCTGTACCTCAAGCTATGTCCGTGGCACACAGTATGTGTTAAGCAGGTGTGACTACATATTTGACAAATGGATAGGATATATACTAAGGACTTGAGCCACCAGGGATAAGACACAGAGTTCCCGGAATACAGGGTATGTGAGAAATGGTGGTATAAGTAAACTGAAGCTACTTCACAAATATTTGGTTTGTTTGTGTTTTACATCCTATGACCAGCTATGGTCATTTAAGGACATACCAGGTTTTGGTGGTGGAGGAAAACCGCAGTACCTGGAGAAAAAAACACCGACCTGTGGTCAGTACTTAATGACTGCCCCACATAGGCTTAAACCTCCCAGCCCTTGTGACCCCTTTACAAAGAATTTTATATAAACATGGGCTGGACGTAGCCAACTTTCTGACGAACTGGGGGTATTCGAGTAATGCGAGTTCAAGGAAGTGGGGGTTCCACTGTATATAACTACAATGAAAAGCATGTGTTGATTTGTCAAGAATTTATACCTGCAGATGTTCATGATGGCACAGTCACGAATATTCTCCAATGCCTTGAGCAGCTTATTCATAGGCCTGTTACGCTTGCTGTCGGCTGGCAAGTGCGTGGCAGTGGAAGAGTTGGTGCCGTCAGTGACAGTGATCTTAATGCTGCTGCGGCCGTCTGGCGTGGCATACTTGTTGAGTTTGCTGAGAAGTGGTGAGGGACATACCAGGAAGTCCCGGAGCGAGGAACACATACTTGACGCCAGGTAGGGAAACTTCACAGCCAATTTTCCTAAAGCCTACCAGTGAAACGTGGCATGATAAAAGTCCTACTGAGGTTTACTTAAAACAACAATAACAGCATGCACTTCTTACACCACGCTTTATAAAGTTAGAATACAGGATGGATTACAAAATTAATGTTACTACTGTACAGGTTATTTTTCTTCTTAACAGCTGTGCTCATTTAAAGATGAGCCAGAATTTGGTGGTAGAGGAAAGCTGCAGAACCCGGAGAAAAACATTGACCTGCGGCTAGTACCTGGCCACTGGATCAGTGATAGCTACACACTCACATCTTGAGACAGATGCTTTCCAAATTCCCAGCTATGTTTTAATCATTTAACTCATTCACCCCTGAAATTTCATAATGAACTGTTCCAACCTTTGAATTGGAAGGGTTCAAATGTGTCTTCAGGGGTCAATGAGTTAAGGATTCTTAGGACATCACACTCACCTCCAAGGCTACCAGGATGAGGGGAGTGTGGGAGAGCAGGAGTTTACTCTCCGTGTTCATACTGATCTTCTCAGACAATTTCAGACATAAATTTTCTGCATCTAAAAAAGAAAGAAAGATGTTTAAATATTCTGATGTTTTTCCTTTGTAAGAAAGCAGTAGAAAACTAAATATAACTCAAAAAAAAACTTTTTTTTACCAACTTCTGAAAGAGACTTTTTCATTCAGGACCTTTTACTGGTATGAATGCATGGAGAGGATTGTTTTTTCTGCTCAGTCTCAAAAGAAAACATGCACAACTAGATACCAAGGGGAACCTACATATAACATATGGGAAAGACCCCTCCCATCCTTTACTTTCTGAGAAATAGCAATAACTAACCTTAACTGCCAAAATCCAAGGTGGCCACTTGGTGGCCGAACAGTCTCAAAAGTAAACATGCACAACTAGAGACCAAGGGGAACCCACAGTACTTTTTGGGAAACAGCAATAATAACAACTGTCAAATGAAGGACAACAGACGGACCACACCACGGACAAAGGGTAATTTGAAAACATCATCTTATGATGTTACAAAACTAATCACTGACTAATGTGATTTTGGTACACATGTTTCTAAATATTTTGTTTACATTCACTTATAGAAGAGTCTCCATAATCCAGCCATCTACATCCCCTGCAGAATGGATTGTAATTTGACTATGCAATAGTTTGTGCAGAAAAAAATCCAATCAGTCCTGAAAAACACTGGATGGGTGATGGGATCAAGGCTTAAAAAAAAGGAATACAACTGTATTGTAAAAACTAGTCAGGGGAGTATTGAAGATCTGTTCTTGCCTTGCTCCTCCCGGACTGCCCAGAACAGGAGGTCCACACATGCCGCACTGCTGAGGACCGTCAAGTCATATGGGTTGAAGTGCCACTTATGTTCACCATCCCGATGAGGCCGCGGCTTCTTGTCTAGCTCTGCCTGGCTTGTCTGGTACATCCCTGTAGCAAAGTCCTGCACGTCGCTCATGAAGCTCAACGGCAGGTCTATATGTCAGAGGGAAAATAGACTTATAACCCTTAAGATTTTCTTGTTTCGAATGGCACAATATATATAATTTTGGTGCAGGTTACGGCATCAATTCACAAATTTTTGTAAAAAAGATATACTTTTTGCATAGATGAAAAATTTATCATTGAAATGTATATCCCAAACCACTGTTTCCTCTGTCTATAATGGAGACTACCCTAGGAGTAATGACCTGTAGATATGTAAAATATAAACGTTAAAATATATAGTTCCTATCAACCATTATGATTCATAATTTAGCATATTCATATCAACAATCCCAGAACCCCTTCTTTCATAACTTCATCTTTCTCCTGTTGTAAAATATCTGAAGTATAGGGATGTCCATCTCTCATAAGTGACAATCGCCTACCTTTCTCCTGTTCCAGTACATCCCTCAGTAGAGTGACGATCACCTACCTTTCTCCTGTTCCGGTACATCCCTCAGTAGAGTGACGATCACCTACCTTTCTTCTGTTCCAGTATCCCTCAGTAGAGTGATGATCACCTACCTTTCTCCTGTTCCAGTACATCCCTCAGTAGAGTGACGATCACCTACCTTTCTCCTGTTCCAGTACATCCCTCAGTAGAGTGACGATCACCTACCTTTCTCCTGTTCCAGTACATCCCTCAGTAGAGTGACGATCACCTACCTTTCTCCTGTTCCAGTACATCTCTCAGCAGAGTGATGATCACCAGTGCAATGGCCTCGGTGAACGACTTGTACGGAAACCAGCTGAAGCTGTTATTTGGCTGTTGGGAAAAAAAAGATATGAACTTGTTACACGTCAGTCAAGATCCTGAATGATTTTGAATTTTCTGCTTTTGATCTGAAGATGCTGCATGATTTATTGATAGACTGACAAACCAGTGATGAGCGGACAACAACTGTGAAGTTCTGAGGAATCACCAAGACTCTAATCAGGCTATAAAAATTAAGAAACTATGAAAGTCAGAAGGTGTCACAATGGTATTACCGTAACAGGGAATTGCCACTAGTTTATTTTTTTCTCGGTTTCTATTTTTACCCGATATGTTATTACCAGGTAAACATAAAAACAATCTGATAAACATAAAAGCCTCAACTTGCAAGTGAAAATAACTATATCATGTACATGTTTACAAGATACTGTAAGTGTACTTACATTAGCACAATGAAGTTTTAGCAGAGAGAAGGGGACCCATAAATTAGCGAAATCAATGTACCTGAATGAATGAATTTAGTGCAAATGCCGTTTTCTGAAACAAGACTATACCCAGTATTATCTACCGAGAGTACACTGCTACAATTCACCGCTACCCAATAACTAAGTACAGTACAATCTGTTACCCTATCTGGAGGTCCTATACATTGAATAATTTGCAACAGCACAATCCTTTATATTTTATATTGTCTAATTTTAGTGGAGGACTTGAAATAACAGACAGGATGAACCGAGAAAGCCGCTGAAATTATAATACTGCTAAAATTATACATATATATAGGATATTTACATGAGTTTCCATTTCATATGACATTTAGCTAGCTAAAATGAAAAATTTGTGACAAGTTTCATAAATTTCATATGAAATGAATACAAATGTGAGATCCTTTCATCACATAATCAAGATCTGTGGTATTTATTCATGTAAAACGGCAATTTTCATGCAACCTTGAAATGTAAAAAGCCGCCATTTTGACTCCAGTGCGTAAGTCTGTGACGTCATGTACTTGTCCTAGGCGTGACGTCACAATTGAAACAATTGAAACTTACAACCAAGCACAGGGCTAATAGGTCATATAACATGGGTTAATACGCAAAGAAATATGACATGGATTTATTTACTGGATAACACAGTACATTATGTGATAAATGTACTTACAGTACCTTTCATAAACACATTATAACAAACACACTATAGAAGGTGACCCTTACCTCTAGCTCTGCGTAGAAATCCTTCAACGAACCATCCAGATGTCTCAAAGAGTCCTTGTTCAAAAGTCGTCGAGCCTGTCAGAAAAATGGTCATAAAACAAATTAATTTGTACATACAAAAGTCGTTGAATCTGTCACAGAAATGGACATAAAACAAACTAACTAGTACATACAAAAGCTGTTGAGTCTGTCACAAAAATCAACATAAAACAAAAACTACAGAGTTACACAAGACATAATGATAAGGATCCCTGTTCTACTCGACTGTGCTTATATATATATATATATGTGCAGTAACCTCCCCTTAATTTTGTTTTTAGATATAACTATAGCCAGGGATTTTTTTTGGCTCAGTTTTACTGTTGAATACAGGCTGCTTCCCCTAGCTAAAAAGTGCCTGATTTTCCCAAAATTACCAAAACTGAGGAATATATTCACAATTTCAATACAAATTGTGCTACATTTTCGCAATTCATAAAGGAACAGGCTGTTGTTAAATTAAGGTAGTAAAAACACTGTTGGACCAGGACACCTGTACTGACTACGTAGCTCATGAGACAGTTCAAGTGACAGTATGACAATCTCAAGTCCAGGGTTTGAATCCTGGTCTAACCTGTAATGAATCTTTACACTCAGAACGCTTTTGTTGATTTCATCTTCATTATATTTTTCATAAAAATCCTGCAAGGTACGGTTTTCTTTTCAGAAATGATTTACCAAAGCTATAGTCATGCCGATAAAAAAAGTTCCCAGTACTAACTAACATTTTTTGGCAGAGGTACAGGGATCCTTAAATCTATGCTTTCTGTATGAAGTAATCTCCCTTTAATAATGTTCCAGGCCACTACCGGTTAAGAATTACTACATGATTTTACAATTTTAAAGGTTTTTAATTTAAAATTTGTTATTTATTTCCAAACTGTTACGTCCCCTCATGATTAATTTGATGCAAGTGGTTTATTTTATTTCAAAATCATTTGAGAACCCTGTAACATTTCTGTTTTTATGACTCACTGAACAAATCGACTGAAAATAGTGTCTGCTAACAAGTGCTGTGCAAAATCACCTCAACAAAGGTAAAGTTCTCAAAAAAAGAAAGAAAAACATGGTTGATAGTTAAAGGACTTCCATCATGGATTCTACTGAAAGCAAGGCAAAGGAATTGTGGGAAGTGATGTAACACATTAATATTTGGAAAACAAAAGTACTTATGATATATATTAGTGAATCAAGCTTGTTAAATGTAACACTTATAATCCTGGGTTTTTTGTCTTCATTCATGAAATTATATTATCTTTTATTGTAGTTTAACCCCTTCACCCCTAGGTAACTTTAGTCGACTCTACCATACATTTATCTGGGTAAGTCTTTTATGGTCTACAGTGGTGAAAAGGTAAGCATTTATTTCCTCAATACTTACCACTCCCACCAGTGTTTGGAGATGCGAACTGGAAAACTTAAGGTGATCCCGTTCAGGGATAATCTCAAAGCCCCAAGGTTTAGTCTGGGTGAGACTTGACCCCACTTTGTTGAAATAATGTACTGCAGGGTCTAACTCCTCATCTTGTGTTGGTTTTTCTTTGATCTGATTTGGTATCGGAGATGGTGACCTTTCTCGTGACCTTGGCGATGGAAAGGCCAGTGATGGAATGTTGACAGGACTTGACGGCCCGGACGATTCTTGCGCAATCACGTGGGATGACATTGTCCGAGGAAGAATAGACCGGAAGGACATCACTTTTGAATCAGCAGATGTGTCTACTGGAGGAACCTTAGATTTCCTGGTCGCTTCTGATGGGAACAGAATGGAAATCAAGGGGACAGACCCGTCGGACGAACGCCCAATTGCTCGCGACATTCCAATGAGGGTGGGAACTATGGCTGTGCATAGCACAACTTCAACAGAAAGTAATAGATCAATGAGTTGGCAGAAAAAAACTCATAACCTGTATTAGAATTAATAACAAACGGATAAATGACAAATCATATTCAAATTTATTATTAATAGTTTCAATTTTCCCTTCCTAACCATTCCCAATTATTTTTTTATATTGTTTGAGAGGCATACTGTAAACGTACTCATTATAGGAAATACATATTTCAGAAGAACTGCAACAACTGTCAGTTGTCCAAGACAATTCAGCACTACAACTTTCCATTACAGGCATGAATATGATGAATACTGTATGTACCGGGAATTTTCGTCTTTTTGAATTAATCAGTACACATGGTCATTAAAGGTGCAGGGCGAATTAAATATTGGGGCAAAAACGGTTTTACTGTCGAGGGTGAAAATCTGTCTGGGTGAAAATTTCCAAGCATACAGTGTATATTTAACTACTTTGTAACTTGGCACTTTCAAATTAGCACTTCAATTGCTAAAAGATTATCAACTGAAGTTCAGTAAACATATATTTAGAGATTTATAATTACATCTCATTTAGTGGCGTACTTCAATTCCCACTTAGGTAACTCACATCGTAAATTTGAACGATACTGACACTAATAAAAAAAAAATGTGCTAAATTTTTCTTTCGCTATATCCCTGGCAACCAAATATTGCAAATGATAAAATTCATTAACAATGACATTTTGAGAAACAATCGGACTACGAACCTTTTGGAATCTCATAGGATCCCTCACACAGCTTCGTTAGCACTTCAAGAACTTCCAATTGAGCAGAAATTATCTGTAAAAAATTACCGAAATCATGAAAATAAATAATTCATGATTGAAAACATAGTCTGCTCCGAAATTCAATTCAAACCAAATTTTTTTTACTGAAAGATTTCTAAAACAGGATTTTGTATCTTTCACACCAAACATATTTGTTATTACTGCAGGCATTATTAACTAAATGTACTTTGAATGGGCAGGGATGAACAATTTTGTCTTTAGAATACCAGCTTATAGATTGATTTTGAAAAGTTCTACTTTATACCTTACCTACAGTTTCAAGAGTAAACATCGAAAAATATTCAACTAGCCCAACATGAAATCAGCTAGCCGCAGGCCTCGGGCTATAGGAATTGTACCATTGATGTTTTATGTTGCTATGATACAGCTATTTTGAAATAATTTTCGTTATATAATGATATTATTTTCACTCCCTTCCGTTATAGTTATATATCACTTACTTCAATTCGATAACGACAATCCTGTACTTGTATCCTAACAGAGCCAGATATACATTTATAATTTAATGTAAATTTTTACCTGTAATCTTTAACCCTTTCACCACTGTAGACCATAATGGACTCACCCATATCAATGCATGGTAGAGTCTACTAAAGTTACATAGGGGTGAAAGGGTTAAAGATTAGATTTCCAAGCTTCTTGTAAATTGTTAGCTGAACATATTCATAAATCAGTTCCCTTAAAGGGTTAGAAGATAAGGGTAGCCAAATAGTCTGAGACTAGTGAAATCTCAAACTGGACTAGTGGTTCTAAAATCTGCTGGCTTGATTGACAAGTCAAAATTTGATATCACCTATCATGTTGAACAATATTGGGTTAGTAGAATTTACACATGGACTAATAAAATTGGAATCAACTAGCCCAACTGACGAGTGGTTTTAAATTAAATTTCTAGCCCTGTAACGATATCAAGTTTCCTGTAAATTGTCATCCTGTACCAGAATTCCCTTATAGCATTGGATATCCAGTTTCCTGTACATTATTATTATTTGTAATCCCATACCTGTTCTCTAACTGATTGGTCCCGCATAGCTACATCACTGAGGATTGTGTTCAGACAGAAACTGAAACACTCGCTGCGTGGGAGTGCTAGAATACACGTACAAGACATTCAATTACAAAAATTAAAACATCAGTCTCTAGTATACTACCCGAGTTCCTTTTTAATTTGAAACAACAAATGTCGGACTACAAGATATCGGCTTAATGGCCACACATCGCATGAAAGAACTAATAGTTGAGACTTGATACCAGCAAGCCTATTCTTTTATACAGACTTCTAAAACTGCAGGACCTTCAAGGGAACGAGTTTTCAAAGTACCTGGTATGTATACGTATGAAAAAGGATATTTAACCAGTAAAGAAGTATGTCTGTTATTCCCTTACCATAATACAAACACCGTCCTTTTCTTGTGCTAAACACTAATCTTTTGGGCTATTTTAGTTAAAGTTAATCAATGAAATTCAAGTTTCTGTGCCAGCACAAAAACTTTGCCGCTTTTGTAATTATGATAAATAACATTCTACAGAGTTAAATATTTATTTACATTATTGAAAAATAGCAAAGTTGAAACACATTCCTTTTTGTACTCTAAGTTTGTAGTTGTACACAGTATAAAAATGAAGAAAACTTTCGAGTCTGCCCATTAAATGAGACTGTTTGACGATAAGGAATATTTTTATTTATCTGACTTGCCACTCACTTTGTGACTTGAGAGGTTTCTGGTTGTTGGTCCATTGTGCCTTGGTGAGCCCCCTCAGGACACTCAGAAGGTAGGGCAGGATCTTATCCTTGTACTGATAAACAAACATAACAACAAAATATTATTTAATACAATTTTAAAAGCAGGACCATACTTTTCCTTCACACAGACTATATAGAGATGATGCATTACAAAAACATCTATTAAGTATTAAATCTTTCTGCTAGGACCACTCTATAGCAAGGTGATGACATTACAATATTAACTAAGTATTAAATCTTTCTGCTAGGACAACTCAGTAGAAAGATGATGACAAAAATCTGCTTCCAAGTTTTTAATTATTTTGCACACATACTTAACAGATTCCCCATTTTGGAGGCAGGATCCTCATTTTGACACCCACATTTTCAGTTTGTGATTATTGGAATTTCCTATACCTCACATTTCCCCAAATTGAATTTTTCAATTATATTTAATTCATTTTATATGAAAGCATAAATTATTGTGTATGACACAATTAAAACATAAGAAGACCTTTAAAGATTTTGTCAAATTGTTTGTTTCTTCCTAATTACATTTAGTATTTAGTCAATGGTTCTGTGAGTGAATTTACAGATAAAAGTCATACCAGCAGGGCTTTCAGTAGACCCTGGAGAGCATGTTTTTTACTCCCCAAAATGAGCTTTTTACTCTCAGGTTTTAAAGGACATGTCTATTTGTCACTGGTATTAACCCTCAAAATCTGAGGGAAATTTATTAATTGTCTGAAGTTGCGAAATGTTATTGACTCAAGGGTCGACTGAAAGCTCTGACAAAGAGAATGACTGTTTGTGTATTGTGTTTGACATGGGAGTAAGTCCACTCTACTAATACTAACACTGTATAGTACAGTCAACACTATTCAAGCAGCCATTAAGAGACCACCTGTGTTAAGAGACCACCTGTGTAAAGAGGCCACTTTTAATGTTCCCCATTTTAGTGATTTCATTGTGAATTGAACCTGTTATAAGGAACCATCTGTTTTAGAGAGCATTTAATGTTCCCCATTGTATTGATTTCATTGTAAAATGAGACTGTATTAAGAGATCACCTGTGTTAAGAGGCCACCTTTAATGTTCCTCATTTTATTAATTTCATTGTGAAATGAGACTGTATTAAGAGACCACCTGTGTTAAGAGGCCACCTTTAATGTTCCTCATTTTATTGATTTCATTGTGAAATGAGACTGTTTTTAGAGATAACCTGTGTTAAGAGGCCACCTTTAATTTTCCCCATTGTATTGATTTCATTGTAAAATTAAACTGTATTAAGAGACCACCTGTATTTAGAGACCACTAATTGGTCGTCGAAATGGTCTCTTAATACAGGTTCGACAGTACCTGTTTTATACCTTTCCCAGAGCTATGACCCCTAGATTACGAACTATAACCCTCAAGGTGAATCACCAATATAATATGTCTGTACATAAATATTTCATAGAATTTACTTGAAGTCCAGACTCGAGGAAGTAGATTCCAAGGGCAATCACTGCGTCTTGTGCCCGTTTGTCCAGTCGTAGACCCCGGCATGACGACTCACGCGGGCAGTAAGACAGTAGCCTCTCAACCTGTCAACAGTAAAAAAACAATTCAATGAATTGCAAAATCATTACTAGTAGCCAGCCCAAAAAATAAAATTCCTCTTATACTATATGCTTTGAAAAAACAGTAGATATCTTTTATATGTAAAAGATAGAGTACAGTTTAAGACACTGTAATTATCAGGGCTTAACAATTAAGACTTCAGTCTTTATATGTTTTCAAGTTTTTGAGTATGAATGAAATAATATCCAATTAATCTTCAAAATTATCACTTCACAGTATCTTCACGACGACACATTTTTTTTTATCAAAATTGAAATGGACGCCAGTGGGATTAATCCTCCCTGATAAAGGCTTGAATCATTTCTTTGAGCTAATTTCATGAAAGTTAAGTTACATATCCATAAACATTACATCTTCGTGTGAGTTCATGTAATGTATTTAACATAACAGCATATTTTTTTTTATTCCCCCCCCCTCCAGTCTCCAATTCAACCTGGCAGTCAGCTTCCCAATGTTCTACATAAGAGGAGCAGGAGAAATAGAGAGAAGATCTTCTACATTAGTTCATACATCCAGTATGCATCAATGATGAAACATGCCAAGTTTTCTACAATTTACTCAAACTACTTGTATGTACAGGAAAATTAATATTTTGAAAAGAGGTGATGCAATTATAATAAAATGAAATATGTGAAAAGATTTGTTTTATTTAATTTTACAAAAATAAATATCCTCAATCTTACCAGAAGACGCAACATATGTTTAGCTGATATGACACAAAAATTAAATTATGTCACACGTTATTACCAACCACAGAAGTTCCAAAAGGGGTCATTCAATTAAAATGCAAGGTAATAGCAGGTATATACATGTTAAGATAAAGACATCATGTTCCAGATACTTGAGACCGCCTCCTAATGGCAGCATTTTATGTAGAAAAACAAAAATTATGGTAGATGGAAGCAGGAAGCCGCTTCAGGCAGGACACATTCCTTAAATGGACAGACATTTTTACACCAGTCAATTAGGATACAAGATGTGTGCTCGTGTGTACCTGAATGGTGATGGCATGGGCAAAGAAACTCAAACTATCTGTATGTACAGAGAAATAAGTATTTTGAAAAGACAGAGGGATGAATGTAATAAAACAAAATATGTGAAAAGATTTGTTTTATTTAATTTTACAAAAATAAATATCCTCAATCTTACCAGAAGACGCAACGTATGTTTAGCCGATATGACACAAAAATTAAATTATTAAATTTGATGTGAAAATTTGTCCGGAGTTATTAGCAACCACAGAAGTTCAAAATGGAAGTCATGGTAACGGGGACATTCAAAGTAATAGCAGGTATATACATGTTAAGACAAAGACATCATGTTCCAGATACAGGAGACAGCCTCCTAATGGCAGCATTTTAAGTAGAAAAACAAAGATTATGCTAGATGGAAGCAGGAAGCCACTTCAGGCAGGACACATTCCTTATACGGACAGCCAATTTTACACCAGTCAATTCGGATACAAGATGTGTGCTCGTGTGTACCCGAATGGTGATGGCATGGGCAAAGAAACTCACTTATTGACTTACCTTCTGTTATAGTCCTTTTTGGATCTACTGTGTTTCCTATCTACTTTTTTCAAGTTTTTTATTGTTTTGTTGTAAGGGTTTGGTTTTGATTTTATAGGGTTTAACGTCCAATCAACAGCTGAGGTAATTTAAGGACGTACCTCCATCTGTGTTGTGTATATGTGCATGTGTGGTGATGTGTACTGGAGGCAAGGTATGTTGGTGTATTTGCAGATATAAGATTCACCCCATTATGAACACTTACTACTTATTGGTGCTTTGCAGACTTATTTTCCAAAGGCATTTTCATGAAACTTTGTTAAAAATGCACAAGTTTTAGAATTTAGTAATTTGGTATTAGAACACCTTGGACGAGTCAAAGTTTCTGGTTGATATGGTCAAGATTAGAACTTCTTTGTCACTTTGTCATCCTACGGGTTTTTGGGATGAGAATACCTCAAACGAGTTTGTATTTTAAGGTACTGCTCTGAAGTTGATGACGCTGATACCATATCCCTTCGCTTCGACAAAGTGCAGTTAATATATGATTTGATTTGTCCATCTGTGTGTGTCTGGTCTAGTACTGACTGTGGTTTCCAGAGCACATTTTAGCTCCTGTTTTGCAAAAAGTCATAGGTACACCATGGAAAGGCGATGTGCTGCGTCCTAAAGCATGCTGCGCCCTAAAGCAAGGTCAATATGACCTCAATTTGACCTTGACCACAAGTGCTGAAATTTTGGTTTCTGGAGCATATTTCAGCTGATATTTCATGAATTGGCTTCAAACTTTGTATATGGGTACATCATGGGGAAGCGATGTGTTGCATCCTAAAGCAAGGTCACTGTGACCTCAATTTGACCTTACCTCCATTACTTAATTAATGGTTTCAGGAGTATATATCTCAGCCGCTGTTTCATGAGTTTGCCATCAAACGTTTATAGGTATATCATGGGAAGGCAGTGTGTTGCATCCTAAAATGAGGTCAATGTGACTGACCTCAATTTGACATTGACCTCAAGTACTAATATAATAGTAATTCAGGTTTCTGCAGCATATCTCAGCCACTGCTCCAAGCTTTGTAGATATGCCGAAAGCAGGGCTATCTGTGAAGCACATGCTTTAGGTTAAAACTACTTAAAAAAAAACTTTAACGTCCAGTATTTCACACAAGTCGAGGTATGAAATTACCCAATATCAATTATTTCACTATGGTGCACTTAATATCAAAGGTACTGGCTGCAACTACTGAGCATTTTACTTACCAACAGATAACCATGAAACCTAATAATCTTTTCCGTGTTTAAAAGTACTGTAAATACCAAAAGTTATTTCCTAATACCGAAACACCACAATAAATATCTATAAATTCAAACTGTTGACTGCATTTCTGTCTGCGAAACCAATCACTGTGTAGCACATATATATTGTTTACAATTGTTGATCAAATTATCAGGAAGTAATTTTGATTGGCTGCATGGCAGTGCACCCTCTTGATGTAGGCAAAACAGGCCTAGCTGTTACTGTTGGCAGTCGACAGCTGTAACTCAATGTAAAACAATATAGCGTCTAACATTATGTAGTCAAGTGAGACACAATTGACAAAAATCATGAGCTAGTAAAACTTTCCCCAACATGTTACCTGTTAAACTCTCACAATTGCTGTCGCCAGATTTCCACGACAAATCTCCATGTTTTAAAGAGCAACTAGTAGATAATATAAGCTCATTATAAACATGCGACCGGTCGTAATTTTGGAGCCTGCGATTATGGTCAGTTTAAGTGGACAGGAAGTTGGTTCCAGTTCTGACTGTGTATGATTTTAATTTATATGACCTGTGACTGAAGAAAATCGAAACGAAAATTCTGACATTGAATTAAATTTGTACTGTGTAACATTTGATATTGAGGGACTTAGCGATGCAACGAGAGTATACATTCAAACTGACCACATCTGGACAACATCTAACGTGTTATAGGCTCATCCCTAAGGCAAATCTGCCGGCGTCATTTGCCGACCATCGATGAGTGGGCATTACTATATACTGACATTAACGTTTTTCACAACCATATGCTTCTGAATTGAACTTATATTTAGTGTTTAGATCCGAAACTGTTTCATTTACGACATGGCAATGAGACATACACGTATGGAGCCTATCAGAAATCAACCGCCCGAAATCAACATCACCATGTCATACATTTCTGTAGGCCGGCTGTGTTCACACTGGTGTTTAAACAAATAAATCGCGAAATACAAAGTAACTATTGATAAACGTTATATACAAATATAAGATAATTTTATGTCAATCCACTGCTCACTTTAGGAAGGGGTGTGGGGTTGATTCCACCTGCAGATCGTGCAAACTGTCGCAATGTTTTGGCGAAAAGGCAGCTATCTTCCGCCATGTTGGCTTTTTGACGTTTAAATCTAAACTACAAAACAAATCCTGGCTCTGGCCAGCTTAACTTGCTCCGGATCTGGATGACGTTGCAACGATCGATATGAAGCCGAAATGAAAATCTTGCCAAACAAATCAATGATACAAAAGCACTTGTTTTACAAATGAAGAGTAGTAATAAATATACTCTTTTAAGGCCTGAATGTATTACTTAAATATCAGAAAATACATTAAGCAATTTTACAGATTGACAGGTTCCTCGCACAGGGACCCGAGAATTTGTCACAGCTATATTTAAAAAAAATATTCGGACCTAATTTAATGTTGTAAGAGTAATTTTACACGTTTAGGGGTTTAGATCAATTTTCGGTAAAAATGTCACCCCAATGAGCCCTAAAACGTGTAAAATTAATCTAAACGCCTTAGCTTAGGTCCAAATATAGCTGTAACAATTGTCCCTGTGGTTCCTCGTGCTACTCCCAAACACAGGTACCTGGGAATTTGTTACAGCTATATTTGGATCTAAACTAATTAAGATGTTCAGAGTAATTTTACACGTTTAAGGGTTTAAACCATCTTTCGATTATACCGAAAATTGATCTAAACCCATAAAACGTGTAAAGTTACTCTGAACCGCACTTTAAAGTCTAAGTCTAACTATAGCTGTAACAAATTCTCAAGTCCCTGTGCTTCCAAACTGTAATTAAGCTTATGCCTAGAAAACTGTTTATTCTGACATGAATATAACTTTGATTTATATTCTTATAACGTTTTTGAAAAGGAAGCCATACCTTGCATGAGTTTTATGAAAAATAACAAACATGAAATAAACAAATGATACAGCATCGTGATGGGGCCGAAATTACTCTACATTTCACGCATCTCTGTCTTAGTTAAGTTAAGTTAAGTTAACTGATGGACGCAGGCAAACTAGCCTCTACATGTATGCCCATTTCTAATTTAAAACTTTAAATTGATATACGTCTGTTAAAAATCGCAAATCCTTACTTTGATTACGTCTTATTTCATTGAACTTTTCTGGAGTCAATTATTGCGGCACTGAAATGAAATTGGACGCCCTGAAAGAGAAATAATTGATGTTTAATCTGGCAATATTTTCACATTTTTGTGTGGAATTATTTGCAAAAGATGGTTTCGTTATATTCGGAAATAAAATTTCTCTGCCATTATTTTGTAAGACAAAGAACAGAATGGCGTATTAAAATCGATTTTATCTTGATAACTTTGTCATTACATCGAAAACTAGTCAATACAAATGTAAAAGAATATTTTCAGAATATTATATAAAAATCTTTCAGTTTATGAAATTCGGTTTCTACAGAAATAAATATAAATAAATAAATAAAGTCACATTACCGCAGTTGCCTCCAGTAAGTAGCACAGGTAACCGCAGTTGCCTTCAGTAAGTACATGTACAATAGGTATCCGCAGATACCTCCAGTTACATGTCATAAGTAATATTCAGTTCATCTTACTTATTCATTAACCCTTTCACCACCGTAGACCATAATGGACTCATCCAGATCAATGCATGGAAGAGTCTACTTAAGTTACACAGGGGTGAAAGGTTTAAATAATTTCTAGATTTGACAGTATCTGAATACACTGATTTTGCAATTAAGCAAATCAAAATCTTTTTATAAACTATTATTTTTTGAATGTTTACTAGAAAACATGATTTTGTAACTTCATATCCATGTTTCATTGTCATTGCATTTTGACTTCATTTCGAAGTATATTATCAAAGATGTCATCGGTTTATTAAAATTAGGAATTTCAATTTAAGAAGAGAGAGGGAGAAAACAAAAGAAGAAAGGATGGCGGGTTGAATTTTACGTGACGCCTAAAAGATATTAAAACTATATACCAGTGTATAATATGAATCTCGTTTGGGTATGCATGCAAGAAAAACTTTGCACGCTTTTAATTTTCTCACTCCTTTTAGCTCACTACAAATTTGTTTTGATGTATTTTGTATTTCTTTTAAAAAAAATATCGCATCAATAAAACTCTTTCGGAAAAAAAACAAGGATTTTTCCTTTTCCTGTTCCCCCTGGAATTTGAGAAAAAATATTTGAAAACACATGCACTGAAAACATTGTTTAAAAAAAGATTCTTTTGATATAGAAGACATACATTTTCAGGATGCACTGTGCACAAACGGCGTGTGAATCCACTCGGCAATACTCTAATAAATTAATAATACAGGAATGCGACAAGGCACAGTTGTTAGTCCCCTTGTCTTTTCTTCATGTCCTTTTCTAATCCCAAATATACGATGAGTTTTTCGTATTTTATTTTTGTTTCCCGGAAGTCGGTTATTTTGTTAATATTATATAACAACGACGTATAAACAGGTCATACAGGAAGAAAGTAGGTCCCACGCTCAGTTTATTTTGATCAAAGGTAAGTTTCATTGTGATAAAATGTGTGAGTGTAGACCTTTTTTTGTAAATACATATTTGTGTTACATCTTACACATACGTATTCAAAACTTAATAAATGAACTTTTTTTGTGTGTTTTTATATTGTGTGTATTTATAATGTGTGTATTTTTTACTATGTACACAGAAAGATAGATAAAATATATATGTATTTCTGAACATCAATGTACGAAATTTCACACGGTGATTTCTTCTTGTTTTTCAAATGACATTTGTAAAAATATATTTCTGGAATTTATGATATATACAAATCATTTTAATAGACATTTCTGAACGGATATAGCTGATTGATTTCTACTTTCGGTTTGTTAAATCCTTTGTACCGTGACTGATTTGACCTAATTATACAGTGCACAGGTACTTCAGTGTAAAAATTAGAGAAAATAAAAATTGAACAATAAGGCTAATATTAAAGAAAGGTTCGCTTCGGACCATGGTAAACCTGAGGCTGATCAGGTTCGGTAACAGTGCTTTCTACAAACAAAAAATAATAATCGATTATTATTTTATTCTGCGGGCTTAACTCGAGTGCCTGTGTATAGTTGTACGTGTGACTCACATACCATGACACACAAATATTACACAAGAATGTTGTGTACATGAAATATGTCTAGTATATCAACCAGATAAGTAGTAATATATGTCTCTCTTTTGCAACTTGTCAGACGAAATAAAATAAATAAATAATTTAGGGTAAAACGGAAAGATAAAGTCTATAACACTGACCTCGCTGACCGCCTGTAATTAAACGATGGATTTCGTCGATAACTAAAGACACTGAATTACGACCCCCCCCCC